CGCAGTCTGGGGGTGCTCCTGGATCCATCACTTCAGATGACCAATCAGATAAATGCGACAATCAGGAATCCTGTTATCAGCTTCGGCTGATTCGCCAGCTGCGCCCTTTCTTGGAAGTAAGGGACCTTGAGCCTGTGGTGCACACGCTGGTAACCTCTCGTCTTGATTTCTGCAATGCGCTCTACATGAGGCTACCCTCGTATTTGGTCTGGAAACTTCGATTATACAGAACATGGCAGCCATATTGGTTCAGGAACATCAAGGAGAGACCACATAACACCGGTATTAAAGTCTCTCCACTGCTGCCTATTAGTTTCTGGGCCCAGTATAAGGTGTTGGTTATTACCTTTAAAGCCCTAAATGGCTTGGGTCCAACCTATCTTTGAGACCACCACTGACAGTCTCAGTTTAGTCATATTGGCTTCTAAGGAGAGTTCAGGGTTGATTTGCTCTAAGACCCATTTATTTGTCTTTCTAGCATTCCATGGTATCCATTGAACTCTTTCTCTGAAGATGCCAGCCACAGATGCTGGCGAAATGTCAGAAAGAAACTCTTTTAGAACATGTTCACACAGCCCAAAAAACCCACAAAAACCTATGGATGCCAGCCATGAAAGCCTACGACTTCATACCAGTCTATCTACTGCTCTACAATTTGCTTCTGTTTTGGTATTGCATTGTTCCCCTTCTGTATGCACTCCCATAGGATTCCACAGTGAATGTGTTTATGTTATAAGACCAATGATTTGTGGTCAACAGGAGGGGCAAACCAGCTTCATTCCTAATCTCTTAGTGCCCTGATCCCAGCAAAATCTCAACAGAACCAGAAAAATTGCATGTAGTAACTTTAAGCCATCGGATGTAGCTTGTGAAATAATTTATTGATTTCTGATACTGAGACCAGGGTAGTACATTCTCATCATACCCCAGGGTTTCTTACCAGCCTGAACTCTAGGCTGTGGTTTCCTGGCAAGTGAGATAATTCATTGAAGTGGCAGCCCGCTAATCAGTTTAACCAAGGGCAAGGCTGTTTAAAGGGTGATGCAAGGATGCCTCCTTGAAGTACATCACTGTAGCATCTCATCTCCAGCTAACAGGAGCACATGGCCTAAAGCAATGGTTGTAAATGAGGGCTCTGTGCTCTATGGCATGTATTGCTGCCGTTGTTCGCTGACTCCGGCAAACACTGGGGCTATTTGCAGCACGACCCTGGCTGGCCTTGCATTGAACTTTCTTTTTATCTGTCTTCCAAGCCTTTGGTGGAAAATCCAAACTCTGTACCCTTTTTTAAGGAGCTGGGCCCTGCTGACTCTACTATTGTGTCTTGAGGCGTATATTCTTCGTTCTTAGTACAAAGATCCTGCAGTTTAGGGGTGGGAAGAGACTGTGTGTGTATTGGAGGGGGTTGTTTTTCTTTAACATAGCCACAAAGCTCTGGGTTGTTAATTTGAATCTATAGTGTTTGCCTCTGACGGTCAGGACGTTCTAGGCATCATGGTAGTATCCTTGCGGAGAATTTTGGAAGTTATTCTTTCATACACAAGCTCTTTCTAATCCAGAAAACTGTTTCTAACAGTCAGTATCCAGCCAGATCAGAGAAGAAAAGCACAGAAGTAATGGTCATCCCCTTTTCATAGAATAGAATCCTGGAGTTGGAAGAGAGCCCCTAAGGGCTATGCAGTCCAATCTCATTCTGCCATGAAGGAAGACCCAAAACACCCCAAGAGATGGCCATCCAACCTCTGTTTAAAATCTTCCAAAGAAGGAGACTCCACCACTCTCCAAGGGAGTGTGTTCCACTGTCAAACAGCTCTTACTGTCAGGATGTTCTTCCTAATGTTGAGGTGGAATCTCTTTTCCTGTAGTTTGCATCCAATGCTCGGTGTTCTCATCAAGAAGCAGTAGAAAACAAGATTGCTCCATCCTCAATATAAAATTCCTTCAGACACTTAAACAGGGCTATCATATTACCTCTTAACCTTCTGTTCCCCAAACACTAAACATCCCCAGCTCCCTAAGTTGCTCCTCATAGGGCTTGGTGGTTCCAGACCCCTCACCATTTTGGTCACCCTCCAGCTTGTCAACATCCTTCATAGAATCACAGAATCCTAGAGTTGGAAGAGACTACAAGGGCCATCCAGTCCAACCCCCTGCCATGCAGGGACTCAAAATAAAAGCATCCCTTTTTGAATTGTGGTGCCCAGAACTGGACACAGGTGAGGCCTGACTCTCCATTGCAAATAACTTGAGAGAACGTTTTTATTTTTGCTAAAAGAGCTGGGATTTTCTTTACTTCTTCTTTAAAGTGGAATATTAAGAATACCTTAAAATCAAGGCTGAAGGAATATTCATCTTAATTCTAGAAATGGGTCCTGATCAGTAAGAAGATACCTTCCTTTATTCCCAAAAGACTTTTAATACATTACTGTTTTTAGTTTCTTGAAGTTAGCCTCTACAAATCTTTCTGCATTGTTTCAAATCCATATACAAACATAGCAAATTCTGTTGCTTTCCAAAGAATTATCATGTATTGTGGATGGATCACAATTTTCTTGACTTAATCTATTAAACCTTAACCATTTCAGCTTTCATTAAGCAGATTATGTAAACTGATAATGCAGTGCAAGTATCTTCAAGTCACCAGTTGATTTGTGGAAACTTCATGAACTTCATAACTTTCTTAAGCAAGGAGGGCACAGGTGAGGTGTTTGCCTTTGCATTCCTCAGATATATAGCCTACAGCACCAAGAATTCCTTGGCGGTCTTCCATCCAAATACAGAAAACAAGATTGCTCCATCCTCAATATAAAATTCCTTCAGACACTTAAACAGGGCTATCATATTACCTCTTAACCTTCTGTTCCCCAAACACTAAACATCCCCAGCTCCCTAAGTTGCTCCTCATAGCTTTCAGGATCAGACAGGATTTGGTGCCTTCAAGGTGTTTGGGCTCGGAATGTTGCCAGTTTATTGCAAGCAGAGATGTAGGAAAAGTTCCTTGCTCTTGTGACAGTCTTAAAAGCTTAGGGCAAGCGCTTATCTGTCTTTCAGTCTGACTTTGCATGTTATCTGAATGCCCCTGCCAAACTCACTCCTTAAAGAATATTAAAAAATATTGCACTAGGATCCAGTCACTAGCCTGCCATCCACTGTGAGGACATACCATATATACTTGTGTATTAGTCAACGTCACGTATAAGTCGAGGGGACCAAAATTATGGATTCTGATATAACCCATGGATACACTGAAGGTAAAACTTAGGGGCATGTGATAAAGGAGGTGGAAGATGAAGAAAAGGAAAACGATACCAAAGAACGACACCATTTTCCTGCCCAGGCATCAAAAAAGGCCAGAACAGGTGTTGCAGCATGGATAGTAGAGTGGGATTTCAAATGGTGCTTCTTTCAGGTTCTCCCAGGATGGACCTGGGTCTCGCCTTTCACCACTCAGAGAACAGGATGGTTCCTATTTTGATATGAGTTAAGTTACATTGACCTGTGGATAAGGTGACCCAGGTTTTTTGGGTTGATTTTTTGACTAAAATTTCTAGACTTATACATGAGGATATACAGTATTCCCCAGAAATATACCTATAGCTCCCCATATATCTTGGCTGTCTCCCTTCCAAGTATTAACCAGGCCTGACCCTGCATATCTTCCAAGCTCAGATGGGATTTGGTGCCTTCAGGGTATGTAGATATATTTTAGCCTGATACAAACTCTTATTCTTGCAACAGGTTGATTAACTTGATTAAAGGCTTTTTAGCTTGAATAATAAATAGGGCAATATTTTTGTACAGCAGTAGTTTTAAATTATTAACTTCAGACCTGAAAGTAATATGGATCTGTCTATGTTAATATCCAGCAGTTTTATAATAATGAAGGAAAGACTTAAATGTTCTGCCACTTTCCTGGTGGATAGAATATGGAAAAGGCTATTGGAAAAAATTAACTGAAAAGAGTAAGGGCTACTAGAGAAACCAAGACCAGTTTAAATTTTATTTGCCATGGTATTAGCTATTATTAATTGTTAGATATGCAAATGAAAGTGTCAGTCCCTTCTCCCCTCCCTCCAATCCCACATGTTGGTTTTTGGAAATATACTTCATTATAGCTATTGTTATATTGTTGGCTGGAGATATTTTAGCTGGATAATCATGCAAAATTAATAGACTTGTTCTGATGTTCCAAGCCCAGTCCTGCTATCAGTGCAGGCTTCTTTGGAAGTATGTAAAATATTCTAAAACCATACAGGGTCCCACACAACGTCTCAAGTGGAGGAAGTAAGATCTTCCCTTTTTCTTATGAGTCTAATAAGCTGCTTACTTTATTCTCTTTTTAATTCTGTTCAGCGGTAGTCAAACAGCCTTGTTCCTTTCAGAAATAATTATTTTGATAATCAGGATTTTTCTGCCTCTTTCTTGCTTTCTAAATCCACCTGTTTTCTTACTATTTGAACTTGATTAAAAACTCTTTTGAGGCACGTATCTTTTTAGGAAGCGTTTCTAATCTGTTAATCTCTGTCTCCAGATCCTTAATTTCTTGTAGATGTTTGCATGTTGGGTTTATATTTGAATAATAGATTATTTCTCCTCCCTCATCTACTATACATTTAGAAACACTGTGGTGTGGGGGCAGTTCCCAGGAAAGATCTAATAA